CCCCCCCCCCCCGCCGGCCCCCCCGTACCGGGCGCGTTCGCGGGGCTCGATGAGCCCCCGGCGCTGCAGGCTCTTGAAGCGGTCGCGCAGGACGCTGCCCTCGGGCTGCCGCCGGGAACGCCGGGATGCAGCGGGAGAAGGAGGCGGGTGAGGCGGGATGAGGCCTCCCCCGGCCCCCCGCCGGAGCCCCCCGGGGGAGCCCTCAGCTCCCGGGACCTCCCCGAGGCCCCGGGAGCCCCTAGGAGACCTTCACATTCCCGAAGGCGGGAATCCTCGTAGCGCAAGGATGGGTCTCATCACAGGGCGCCGGATGGGCCGGGAATGAGCCCGCCATTCCCGCAGGGACCCACCTTGAGCAGGCGCAGGGACTCGGCCAGCTCGTCGCTCAGCTGCACGTCCAGGCTGGGATCTTCGTACCTGCGGCAAGGGCGGGAATGAGCCGGGAATGAGATGGGAATGAGATGGGAATGGCGGCATTCCCAAAGGCGGGAATGGGCCGCACTCACTTGAGGCGCCCCAGGCGCCGGGGCTGGGTGTCCTGGAGGCGCCGCTTGGCCTGGCGCGCCCGGCGCCGCCGGAGCAGCTCCGCTTCCCAGCGCGTCACCTGCCTCCGGATGGAGCGGAGCCGGAAGAGCTCCTGGCGCCGGCAGCGCGCCGCCTTGTCCCGGCTGCGCCGCGCCGCCTGCAGGGAGCTGCGTGAGGGGCGGCGTTCCCGAGAGCGGGAGCGGGCGGCGTTCCCGAGCGCCGCTCCGGCGCACCTGGGCTCGCGCCTCCTTCTCCCGGCGCCGCTGCTGCTCCGTCTTCTTCGGCTTCGGGGGGGCGGCGGGGGGGCCCTCCGGCTGCTCCGGCTGCTCCGGCCGCTCCGGCTGCTCCGCCTCCGTGTCCGACTCCTCCAGCAGCCCCTCGCACTCCTCCTGGAAGCGCGACTCCTGCGGGCGGCACCGGGAGACGCGGCTGTGCCCGTGTCCCCTCCGCCACCAAGGGGACGGAGCGGTGGGACAGGAGGGAATGGAGGGTTCCCGAGGGAATGGAGCTCCGTAGGCAGCGGGATGGGACCCGGAGCAGTGGGGAGCTCCCTGATCCACAGGGAGCAGAGCTCTGGAAGGAGTAGGATGCGACCGGAGCAGCGGGAAGCTCCCGGCTCCATAGGGAGCGCGATGGGACCGGAGCAGCGGGAAGCTCCCTGATCCACAAGGAGCAGAGCTCTGGAAGGAGTAGGATGGGACCGGAGCAGCGGGAAGCTCCCGGCTCCGCAGGGAGCGCGACGCGACCGGAGCAGCAGGAAGCTCCCGGCTCCGCAGGGAGCGCGACGCAACCGGAGCAGCGGGAAGCTCCCGGCTCCGCAGGGAGCGCGACGCGACCGGAGCAGCGGGAAGCTCCCGGCTCCGCAGGGAGCGCGACGCGACCGGAGCAGCGGGAAGCTCCCGGCTCCGCAGGGAGCGCGACGCGAC